GAGACAGAGCAGGAGAGCAAAATACCACTAGAGCATAACCATTACTCTCCAAGGTTTATTGTACTGTATTGATTACTCCATAAAAACCATTCTGAGTCATTAACTTTTAATTAAATATGATGTGCATAAAATATCTGAGGGACTAGTGAGTGATAATAGTGACTTTTAAATTCCAAGCGTTCTATATGCATTTTTTTGGTGGTAGAAAACAAGATATGAGCTTAACAGTAAAGGTGACCCTAACTTAATGCACAGAGGTGAAAATACCACCTAACTTAGCTAATATTTTAGCTTTACCATCAGCGTACTCGTTCTGCTGTCGAGTCTCATTGGCAGGCTTGTTCAGTAACAGAGCTCACCTCACAGTATGCCTGCCTACATAGGCTATGACAATGTTCAGTCTTTATATTAATTTATTATAGCCATGATTTTAAAAGATGACCTTTCTTTACACTGTGGTGTGTGTGTGTGTGTGTGTGTGTGTGTGTGTGTGTGTGTGTGTGTGTGTGTGTGTGTGTGTGTGTTTATGTCCACTCTGGCACAAGAACAGTTAATATTTCCATGCTTGCATAGCACAAATGAAACAGCTAATAACATAGCATATCTTTAAAATTCAGTATTTTTCTGTCACAGACTCTTTTTTTTTTTTTCTTTCTCTGGACCACAGATTTGTTGTTTTCAGCAAATCTCCATTTCATAAGAAATTAAATACCAGCTGTCAAAGTGTGGGTATGTTAAACTGGGTATTGCTTCCCTTCCTCTGGGTTACTAAGAAGTGACATGTGACATGTTTCTCATTTATATGACAGTGTAGGGATTCATTTTCACACACACTTGGAGCCAAAGATTCAGACCATTGCAATAAAAGCTTTTTAGCTTTGCTGCAAGAGAGCAGTTATTTTTACTTTTCTCAGCTGGAAGCAGGGCAAAAGAGAAAAGGGTAGCTGAGGGAGAGAGACAGAGAAGCAATGTGTGAATGTGTGTGCGTGCACGATGGAGAGAAGGAGATGCAGAGGGATGTATCGAACAGGGAGACTACGCTGATGGTAAATGGGTCACCCTGTTAGGAGTCTACAGCAGACCTGCGTGTAGTTAAGAGAATCATGCCTGCAGGCTGTATGTGCTGGGCTAAAACCTTAGCCGGTGACACAGGAACTGTACAAGGAAGGAATTAAATGCATTTTAAATGTATGTTCATTTGTAAATTATATATGCTTCACCTCACAGTATGCATTTGATGGCACATATAATTAGTCTAGTGAACGTGCGCCAGCGTTTGTGCAATGTTCCGCCACTTTATGCAAGTGTTTTTATTAGCGTATGTGGGTGTGTGCATAGAAGCTTGTGTTATCTTGAATTTGTGTTTTTGGAGTGACAATAGCACAACCTACACAGCCAGTGTTTCCTGGTGCCTATACAGGATCTCAGTGCAGTGCTGGAGGGCTGAGAGGACTTGTTAATTAATTACTGGTAGGCGACCAGCAGAAAATTCATCAGTGACTCTTTGATAATTGATTACTTGTTTAAGTGGTTTGTCACATTACAGTCCCATTCATTTACTGGTTATAGATTCTCACGCGGGTTTTACTTGAATTTCTCCGTTTAAAATCTTTGTGATCAAAACCTGATGTGTTAATTTCACTTTTCAATCCAAAGCAATTTGAAAGCATAATAATAATTGTAAGAAAAAGAAAAAACTAGAAAACAAAAAGACGTACATTTCTCAGGAAATTTTGAGTGTCCCAATGCACCAGCTGGCCATGAAGATGTCACCACAAGTAAGAGCTAACCAAATAATAGCTTTGGGGAAGCTGTAAGACATTTTAAGGTCAAGATTTAGGTAGCCAAACATAATTAAATAAATGAATGAATAAATAACCGTGGATAAAAAGAAACAGGTGTGGAATGGTCTTTAGAATATGAAAGGAATTTTATTCTGAAAGTCTAAAGCTTTTGCAGGCATCCTGTTTTTACAGTAGTAGTCATAATTGAAAGAATAAAACCCACTATCCTTTTCAGCCCTGAAAAGAAGCTTTACTATTTGCAAGCTTTTATTTTGACAGTCTAGTACTATTTAGCTAGTCTTTTTAGAAATGAGAGACAAAGTGTAGACATTTGTCTCTCCCATGTCCAAGTGTGAAGGAGACAGGAAAGAAGCGTATTAAAATGGAATTTGGTTATTGAGTAGGTCTTATTTTGAAAGGCCAAATTTTTTAAACATATCCTGCTTAAACCACTATGGCATCCACACAATAGTCCATTATATTCATGCATTACTGTAGCGAGTTTACATCACAAAATGAAGTACCTTGAGCCAACTGTTGTTGTGATTTGGTGCTATATAAAAGAAAAAAAAGAATTGAATAGCTCATTATATACAGAAGAGCCAGCATCATTTATGAGCCCCAGCAATTGGCTGCAATATTTGTTGTTTGCAAGCTTTTATTATGAAGGACACACTTTGCTTAGAGTCTGATTTTGAAGGTGAATCAAAATTTAGACAGTCTGGATCATCTTCCCTCTCTTTGCCATCCTTACAGCAACACTTATTCAGTCCAAATGACATCCTGATGTCCTTGCTGTAGATCCTGATGAGATATATCAGTGAGTCAATGTCTCACTTGCTCCTGGCATACAGCTTGATGCCATCCATGTACAGGAGGTGGCAGATGGTCATTCAACTCCTGAATGTGTTTCTATAACCACTTGCTGTGATGAGCTGGCTGAGGGTGTTGAGGCCTATACAGCACAGCAGCAGGAACAGTGTATCACCTTGATGTAATCTGAACTTTGATAGTGACTTGTGCAGTTAGCATGGAGTTGTTGTCTTCCAGAGATTCATTCAGTACCTGATGAAGGCTATTAGTACACCATTAATCTTTTATAGCACCAAACACTCCCGTAGTCCATGTAAGGCACAGGCTTTCTTGCAGTCAGTCCAGGCAGTGCTCAGGTTGGTCTGCCTGGTCTTAGAGTCTCTGACTCTATCGGTGAAAGGGTCTTTGGAGAGCAGGCCGTTTGTTCTTTTGAACTCTGCTTCTCTGCTTTATCTCTTCAGACTAGTAGCCAGAGGTGTGAGACTCTGTTTGGCAGTTTTGAGAGCCTCAGCTACGGAAATTTTGTACTTATCCATGGGCTGCTGGCAGTGGGGAGTAACTATGGCGGTGTTAACATCGTCAGATAGGATTTTGTTAATGAGCCCCAGATGTTGTACAACTTTCTTGAGTCTGGCTAGTCTCGACTACTGCTCGGTATTGTTCCTTTTGAGTTGTCTCCTCGGGATCCTCAGCTCACTAGCTGCTTCCTTCTTTTGACGTTAAAGCACTGAGCTATCGGCTGCTTCTTGGTCAGCATGACCTTCTGCTCATCCATAGGTTGTACCTCTTGGGTCAGGGGGGCATTTAAGCTTTGCTTTTTTATGTACTTTGTGTGACTTGTTTAAATCAGCAGCAGCAAATTAGCAAAGGTGAGGCTATTTTGGAGTGTGCTGACATATCTGTGGTTTCAAAGGTAAATCAGTGCAGGTCAAAGAGCCCACACATGAGCACAAGTATCATCAGCGCTTTAGATATTGCTACCACAGAGCTCGAAATGTCCCATATGGTGCATGGCTGCTGGTGTGTGTGTTTTTGTCTGTCTAGTAAACACTGTAAAGCTCCCAGTTTGTTCTTCAGATTTTTTCCCCCCTTGGCTAAAATCTCTAACTTTACTCTGAGGATTAAGTGCTGTCAGAGCTGTAAATCCTTGTTGTTTCATTTCATTTGCCTCTCGTGTAAAAATCTCTAAACAGACAACTTTGTACTGAAAAAACGCACAGGCAGTCAAACGATTTGTTTGTGTGAGCAAAAGCACTACAAATGACGCGTAGCTCATCATCACGCTGGCTTTTCCCCACACTGAGGCCGATTCTGTTGCCTATTCCACAGAAAACAAAAGAACAATAGCGGGACACAAGAGCGGCCAAGGACACTGCCCAGTATGTTGTAATTCTCGTAGAGCCTCTGGGTATAGCATCAACACCAAATAGACAAACAATGTCATGTTGACTGCAACAAGACTTTTTGCTTTATGTTGTGACATGCACAACATAAAGCTTTGTATCATTTTATATGAGGTAACACATGTTGAGAGACACTGTATCACTAGTAGCTTTAGCTTCAACACAGACGCTAAATAAAACAATTAATGCATGCAGCGAGAAGGACTGTGCTAGAGTCATGGAGATTCCACTTAGTCCTAAAATTGCTACTTTCTTTCAACAAAGTAGGCCTGGTGTTTGATTTTCAGTGAAAAAAGTCAGGCTGTTGCATTATATGACTGCAATATTATTGTATGTAGGGGAAATGTAATCACCTAGCATCAAACAAGCTGGCACACATGTAAATCACTGCGTTTACCTCTAAAAAATCATGCATTTTCCATCCAATAGCATGCTCCAGTCCATACAGTACAGAGTCAAGTTCCTATGGTATAGACTGAGGGTCCATCCTTTTGCAGTAGTTGCTAAGAGGCTTTTTAAAGTGTGCTTCTGCTGGGCCATGGCAGTCTAGCAGCAGCAAAAATCTGCGCTTGTGTTGTAAAAATTCAGCAAGGTCAATCAAGCAACCTGCAAGAAGCTGAAGGAGGCCTAAGAGCGTTTTAGATATGCCAAAGAAGTGCTGTTTTGTCTGTCCGTGTGTATGTGCGGACTTGTGTGCATATGTGTGTGAGAGAGATAGCCCTGAGTAAAATAACTGAAATGAGAGCACCAGCATCGCTCTTGTTTTGGCACTGCCACGGCAACTTTTCCTTCTTAATGTTAGGAGTGGGCAGGAGTGGAATTTAAATGTCCTCTCTCTTTCTTTTTACCTTTTTTTGTCGTTGTTGTTCTACAGATACTTTCTATTTCTTACTTCTTCTTTGATCTTAATGGTCTTGTGTCGTATAGGTCTGGTTGTTGAGGTGTTTGTCTTTGTCTTGGTAAGTGGTTTGATTTGACTTTTATCCTCATGTCTTCACAGGAAACCAATGAGCTGGTGGCGATTAAGAAGTTCAAAGACAGTGAAGGTGAGTGGAGTGAGCCAGGAAGTTAGGAGAGAAGCGAGGAGCTGCTGTCTAATTTCTGCTGCTTTAATTTCCGAACAGAAAATGAGGAGGTCAAAGAGACCACTCTTCGGGAGCTGAAGATGCTTCGGACACTGAAGCAGGACAACATCGTCGAGTTGAAGGAGGCTTTTCGGAGGCGGGGGAAGCTCTACCTCGTCTTCGAATATGTTGAGAGGGTCAGTTCAGCGACTGTGTCGTTATCATTTGACTTCGCACACGTTCCTCCTCTCTGCTCTGCCGTATCTAGATTCCTAGCCTACTTCTAAGTTTCAGGATGTTGAGACTGCTCACTTAAGCATTAAAAAGTGTCGCCATGGCAACATATGAACTATGCTGTTGGTGAGTAATGGTATTCCCCACTGTGTTGCCAGGGTACCCGGCCAAGTGTTTATTTTATGACAGGTTTTATTTTCATGCTGTACTCTAGTGATTTAGCATGGTGTCCCCTCTCACCCCCTGTCAGGGCTAAAATAAAAAAAAGAAACAAAAAAGAAATTAAAGGTTAACACCATTAATATTTTTAGAGCACACTTTCTAACAGGGAATTTCTTGCACCTTGCAGAACATGCTGGAGCTACTAGAGGAAATGCCCAACGGTGCTCCACCTGACAAAGTCCGCAGCTATATTTATCAGCTCATCAAAGCCATCAACTGGTGTCACAAGAATGAGATTGTGCACAGAGGTGAGGAAGTGTCACCCGGTCTAATGTCACATCTGGAAATCACACTTTTGTGATTCAATAATGATTCAAAAAAGGAGGAATTCAGTTCAAATTATGTGGTGTACATGAGCATGTTGGTTGAGCCTTTCCACACATCAAGAATAGTTTGCTAAGACAAAGTACTGTCATAGGAGGGAAACTGAAGCTGTAAAAAATGTGTATTGTTGTCTTGTATTCATGTTACGTATTCATGTAGTAGGACAGCATTTGAAGCATATTGTTAATGCCTCGTTTTTCTTCCAGATATTAAACCAGAGAACCTCCTTATCAGCTCTGAGGATGTTCTCAAACTTTGTGACTTTGGTGAGTCTTCTTCGGTTTTTTACAGCAGCCAGCCATGTGTCACGGTGCTGTAAGGATTTAGAGTCTGTGTGCAAGGCAGTAAAAACTCCCAGACCACGCACATTTCGCTGCTCGAGTGATGATAACTGCTTTTAAAATCAAGCAAACTCTTTAACACAGTAAATCGCTTTCAGCTGCCGATTGATTGTGATTATTTGAGTTTTTGCAGTTATCTCTGTGATTGCATTGTGCCCATTTTGGTTTTTTGGGCTTAGTTCGGTGTGAAAAATCCCACCATTAATTTGTCACCTTGTAAGTTGTATATCAGAAGGATCAATTCTGCCATTTGGGAAACAGCCAAGCAGCATTTCAAAGTGCAGCCTGCTGGGTTTTAACACAATTAATCCGCCAAAGAAGTCCAATTAGTGAAGCACCTATTTTCTCTGTAAAACACTAATAAAGTGCATTGATATGACACGTCTTTGCCATTTTACTGTTTTCCAGGTGTGTGTTTTACATTAGCGTCAATATCAGCAGGGTCACATGGTTAGTTAGCGTTGCATAATTGGCTAATGCAATGCTATTTAGTCAGCTGGGGTGAGATTTGTTTGTTATTCACTGTTGGAGCTGGCGTTCTGTTTATTGTGACTTTTTTATGATTAAAATGGACTCTCTGTACGACACTTTTCCAAAGCACAGTCTCCAACTGCCTGCAGTGACATAACTAATTAGTTTGATCACATGGGAAGACCGTGTTGTTACTAAGCTGTCCAAATTACTTGAACACTGAGAGTCCTTTTTTTGTTTTTAATTGATCTTTGAAAGAGTCTAAATTGTATATTATCACACTTCAACGTGATGGCTGTGTAACATACAGAATCAGGTGTACGTGATTTATTGAATATCTGTTACTCTGGCTCAGGTTTTGCTCGTAACCTGTCTGAAGGAACAGATGCCAACTACACTGAGTATGTCGCCACAAGGTGGTACCGCTCACCTGAGCTGCTGCTGGGGTGAGTTCCTGTGTGTGCATCTGCGTGTGCATGTCTGTGCATACATGTATATATGCAGGAGCTGAAGTGAGAAACATGAAGCGAAGGAAAGAGCACACAGCACAAGATATGTTTCTGTGTTTTTCCACAGAGGGTATCAGCTTTTCTCTTGTGATACCACCATACCTTAAACAAAATAACACAGTACTGGTCTCATTTTCTCAGCTAATACTCATTCATTTTTGCATTATATGTTTAATGTATCCGCTCGTGCCTACAGCCTGACACGAATAAATGCAAGTTATAGCAGAAATCTTATTATATCAAAGCAGCTTTAAATAGAGATCTCATCTCATTACAAACTGAGGCCAAACTTTCCAAAGATCCCAAAAATGTCCAGCTGCATTTTCTGGAATAACACGAAGAAGAAGAAATGAACACGATTTTAATCTGTTTAAACAGGAGGCCAGTAAAAATAGACTTAAAGTGTCTGGGCTAATGTGAGACTTATTTTATTGCATATGTACCAGCATGCATTCATCAGTATAAATAAAATGTACCAAGAAAATATCCCCGACACCATTGACAGGTAGGAAGGATCCATGCTTTCATGATGTTTATGCCAAAATACTACAATCTGAATGTCGCAAATCAATCTTCTGTTCTAGTGAGTTCATGTGAACTGTAGCCTAATTTTCTTGTTCTTAGAAGAATGACAACCAGTGTGGTCTTCTTCTTCAAGATTCAGCATATTGTGAGGTGTTCCTCTGCATACCTTGTTTGTGGTTATTTAAGTTACTATCAGCTCTAAGCAGCCTTGCCGTTCTCCTCTGGTATAAACTAGAGATGGCACGATACCACTTTTTTATGTCCGATACCGATATCATAAATTTGGATATCTGCCGATACCGATATGAATCCGATATAGTGTTTTTTAATCAACAAAACTGTTTTTTTAAATATCTTGCTGCATTTTGTATAAGTTCATACTCAAGTTTAAAACAACAACTACACTAAAGCTATTCTGTTATACCTGTATGCAAAAAAAAATATTTCATAGTTCAGCAATACTGATCAATCTAATAAACTTAAACCTACACCATCCTCCCTATTCTGGTATTTTAAAGAGTACTTAGCGTAAATATTAAGCAACCTAACTAATAGGGTTCCAACTCCCAGCAACAACAAAAATAAATAAATAAAAAATAGGGAACCACCCCTCACGCTCCACCTCATGATGCTTAATCGACGTAATCAACCTTAATTTGATGCAGTGTGAAAAAAAATGCACAGAAATCAATTATTTTTCAAGAAATATTAAATAGATTCAACATCTTTCTTCAACAAAATTGCAGACTGCACAGATGGTACCTTCCCAAAGGAAAAAGTACTATAGCTTACTAGGGTATATTAGACTTAATAGTTACTATATACAGTAATGGACTTCTATTCATTTTACATCAAATTAAAACTTTGGGTGTCAGATAATTATTTATTAAAAGCTGACATTTTAAATGAGAATAAGAAAGAAAAGTATGTCTTTGTGCCCCCTTTTCCCTGTTAATGCCCTATCGGCCCCCCTGGCTAAACTTTGCTAGATCCGCCCCTGCACAGTTACCAGCGTCAGCTACGTAGAAAAAGATCCTGGTGTAGAAAGTAATATTAAATAAATTCTAACAACAGCTTATCAAGCTTAAACGTGCTGCTGTTGTTCAGCCGCTGGTTTCCTCTTTCTGGTGCAAAGTGGGCCAAAAGCAAACTAGAGACACGGACTCGCGACAGAAAAGCCGATCAGCTGATCGTTAAGCAGTTTCATGATTGAAGTAGCAGCAAGAAGAGGCAGTCGCTCCATATATCGCTTGTTAAGCTTAACGCAGGAATGCTTTACAAACATTCAGAGATGGACTTACACACTTGCTTTACTTCTCTCGGGGATAACTTTGTCGGAGATGAAATGCCGGGTTGCTAGCGAAGCTCCAAATGCTATCCAGACCACCGACAGGTCCCGCATGCCACAGCCGCTCTATCACGTGATGCATACTGCTCCGACGTGCTAACGTTCTGAGGTGAGTTACGGCGTGTTGCAAGTTTTGTGAGGTGCTTTCGTGATATTTAATGGATCGGATTACATTTTTTATTTTTCTCCGATATCCGATCCAGTAATTTAGGTCAGTATCGGACCGATACCGATACGTAATATCGGATCGGTCCATCTCTAGTATAAACAAGGGGTTTTTGGTGAGAGAGCTACTGCTCAGCATTTTGGACCACTCTGTAAACCCCAGAGATGGTTGTGTGGCAAAATCCCAGAAGATCAACAGTTCCTTAAACATTTTTCCCCCATTCTGATGCTCAGTTTGAAATTCTGCAGCTCGCCTTGACCATGTCGACGTGCATAATTGCATTGAGTTTCTGTCATGCGATTGGCTGATTAGATATTTACATTAACAAGCAGTTGAATAATTTTTTTTCCTTACAAAGTGGCTGATGAGTATGTGTAAAAGACACTGGAACTATAGATTTTTTTCCTTTTAGAGTGAATCTATTGTCCAAGCAGCAGGCAAATCAATAAATATGAAAATATTGTAAAATTACTCTTAAAAGAAAACTATTAATGGATGTTCAGAAATGAAGTCTGTGCTTTCACTGTGTCTGCAAATAGGCTGTTTTTGTTTCCTTGTAAAAAGCAGGCTTTCTCTCAAACAGCTCAAAAACTGTACTGAACACGATTTCATCTTTTTAATTCGTCCTATATTCTTTTATAATTTAATGAAAATTGACAAACCAATTTCATTTTTAATTAGTTCACTACTGAAAGCGATGTATTCATTCCGTTCAGTCTAAGAGACCTCAGCTGTAAAAGCTAGTTAAATATGATTCGAGATGCTCTATATCTGGACTTTTACATGACACAAACACTCCCAAATCCCCAGTAAGTCTAACTGGATTGTGTTTATTTGGGTTTTATTACATCTGGGCAAATATAATAAACATTACTGCATTATGCTGAATAAAAGTTGACAAAACACAAAAGTTGACTGATTATTACCTGTTTGATAACTGTCACCCACTTAGTGAGCTCTAACTGCATCTCTGTGTGTTTTTGAGCACGAAATTAAGCTAACAAACCTTTTTTTAATGTAATTTCACTGTAAAAATTTTCATTTCATTTCATTTCTTTAATTCAGATGGCTGGAAAAACAGTCAGTGATTCATCTGCTGCATTATGACACGAGCCACCATACCCACAGATCAAATTTCACTTTCCTCGTGGACTTCTCTTGCCGATGTTGTTTTGGTGCTTTTGCTGCATTTAATGTCCATTCTAGCTTGGAGACAGCTGAACGTCATCTAGCCTCGGTTCTGTAGCCTGATTTAGTAAATGCCCTGGAACATTTATTGAGACAGCGTTTGAATGCCGCCCACTCAAATACTCTCTCCCTCCAACACCACCTCTCCTCTGCTTCTCTGCTGCCAGATCTCTCACCATTTCTCACCAGACTTCTCAGCTCTGTTCCCTCAGAAATGACCATCTTCTTTATGAGCTTCTCCATCAGAAACACAACATCGATCGTTTTATTTTAATTGCACCACCTCCGTGAATTCTATCACCCCCGCCTCGCTGTCATCCCTCTCATAATCGTCTCCTCTTCATTCGGGGACTTGGTTTTTACCCTTTTTCCTCGCCATTTTCATTTCCTCTCTCATTATTATCACCCTACCGTCTAATTAACGAGGTCTTTTTGCTGTATTTGATGATTACATATTTGTCTGTTTTTCTCCGTCTCAGGGCTCCTTATGGAAAGGCGGTGGACATGTGGTCGGTGGGGTGTATCCTCGGGGAGCTGAGTGATGGACAGCCCTTGTTTCCAGGGGAAAGCGAGATTGATCAGGTTGGTGAGCCGAAACAAGGGTGAAGCATATAGCTAATTAAACAGGCTGACTGAAAAACAGAAATAGCTTTTGATGTAAATAAATCAAAACCTCACATTTCAAAGTCCTACTGTGTGATGTTTAAGGTGGGCTGACAGGTTTTATCTATTTATTTCAGATTGTTATAAAGGGAACAGGCATTCATAATATTTGACGCTTATGCACCTGACAGAACGCCCACTTTGGTTTCTTCTCTGATATAATAAAACAAAAGAAGAATTACTGAGAGTCCTCGTGTAAAAATCACAGTTACAGGGGCTTTTTTGGACTTCACACCTGGGCAAGAGAAATTTCAATTGTGTTGTCGGAAATAAAGCAACTGGGAGACAACAGAGCGAGCGGGGGGAGATCTCAGAGATGGTGATGAGCGCTAATTTTGGAAATTTAATAGCAAGTCAAATTAAATTTTATTCATCCCCAAATCACAAGTTTGTCCAACAGAGCTCTGAGATCTGTGCACCAGAAGAAACTGTCTCTCTGTTAGCTCGCACACAACCCATCGATATATCGAAGAAAGAAAATGTATTAACACAAATAATCTGTCTCAGGCCTGCCCTCAAACACTTTATGGATTATGTGCCGTTCCAACAAGTTTAGTAGGAAATTTATGGAAACAATGTGCATCACTTTCAGGTCAGTGCACCTGGGCTGGTGCTCTCATTTAAAGCACTTTCGTTGATTGGACAGCATGCTGTGTTTAACCATCTAACAACAGGTGTATCATTTATGACACTGTGGTTTTGAGTTTTTCTAACCTCTGATGAAGATCTAAATAAATTGTACACAATAATTCTAAGCAATAACACCCAGAAAGAATTATTTATATATATATATATAAGTGTTATACTGAGTGAAATTGAGACAGATATAAAACAACAGATGATCATGTCTTAATGATAAATTTCAATCACCAAAAATGAAACACGGACTTCTTGAACAGGTTGTTCCAGCCACTGTGTTTTATAATTTATGCAATAGTTCCATTGCTCCGAAAGGCACCAACACCACAAACATGGCCAACAGGTCAAGTTCGGTGAGTTGAATTATCAAAGGTGAGGCTTAGCAGAACGCTATCAGCTGCAGCTGTTGCCTATGTTAGCAAAACAGCTATCATTTATAAAGTGAAGACGGTATTTTATCCAGCTCCTTTATTCACTGTAACCTGACACAACCATAAAGGGATTTGTCTCCTCCCAGGATTGAACTGGGAAACTGTGCTTATTAGACAAATGAGTATATTATTATACCACTAAATATTTACCACACATAGTTTTTAAGAAAAAGCATTTTTTTTATATCAGGGTGTCAACATGCTTTTTTAAAAATTGCTGTTAAATTGAGTTTTTACCCAGGGCTGAAGAGAAACTAAGATGCACAACTTGTTTGCAGATAGGCAGGTAGGAGAGCAAGGGGCAGGAAGAAGAACCACCAGCACCATTATAGTCTGGGAACACGGGGCCCCGGGGGCCCAAAGTTTAATCAGGGCCCAGAGTGTCCCAGCAGATCATCATATGCGTCAAGATGATCAAAATGATTCAAATCACCTGTCAGCTGTATTGCGGTTGAGCAGTGTGTCATTTATATGTATGATACTGTAAAATATAAATCCATGATATATGGCTTTACAGAGTGTTTCTCCTGTCGGTTTGATTTTGCAATTCACATCTTTAATGTTTCGCTTTCACCACTCACGTGAACATTATTTTACTCGGCAGAAAGCAGCTGCTGAAGATTGTGCTGAATCAGGTTGACGAAGAGTGTGATTGGTTTAGCAGACGTTCACCCCTCCAGTGAACGAAAACGTTCCTCCTTGTCTTAAATGTGCACATCGTCAGATTTGTTAGGTAATAAAACATCGCTGTTTGGAAATGTGTAACAATAAAAAACTATAATGGAGAACAAAATGAGCTCATCATCTGTTCCCTAGTTGTTCTGCCACCTTCGATTGTGTTACATGATTTTCATCAGTTTGCCCGGCTGTCACAGATATGTGCTGTAGATGCTCTGCACTTTTTTTTTTTTGTTGAAGCTTTGGAAACTCCTTGTCCACAAATACATCTTGAAGTGAGATTATTTGAAGTGGGATTAACTGCTGTTTACAGAATCAAGAATGAACTTTGATGCTTGAGATCTGCATATATCTTTTACAGACTTGCGTAAATATTAAAAGAAAAATAAAATAAAGGGTGTTTTTAATGATATTTCTCTCTTTTTTTGTCTCCAGCTTTTTACCATTCAGAAGGTTTTGGGGCCACTTCCTGCAGAACAGATGAAACTCTTCTACAACAACCCTCGATTTCATGGAATCAGGGTACAAAATATTAACTGTGCTTGAATTCTTCTCTACTTTTTCATCTCCTTTCTCCTCGCCCTCCTCTTCTGTTTTTTTTTTTTTACCTCCTTTCCTTCTATCTCAGCTTTGTGTCAAATCTCTCTCTCTTTTGTGGCAGTGTTCCCAGCACCATGACTGAGTGGATTGCTATGACTCATGAGATAGGTGGTTGGTGTTCAGTTTAGCAGCAAGAGAAAATGCCCCAGAGGGACGATCAGGACTTGTGTGTGTGCTTGTGTGCATGCGCACGCTTTGTAGTTTGTTCAGCGTGATCCGCTGATAGATTTCTGTGTGATTTGAAGTGAGAGCTCCTTTTATTTATTTTTTTACTGGCAGCTACATAAACTGTGCATTGGAAATCACAATAGTAGTCTTTAATGCACAGAAAGTTTGCGTTGGTTATGAATTTGATCCAGTGTTTGTGTCTTTGTGCTTCTGCCAGTTTCCATCAGTTACTCATCCTCAGACTTTGGAGAGACGTTACCAAGGCATCTTGAGTGGTTTGATGTTGGATTTGATGAAGGTAAAATGCCAAGAAACATTCCAACTCTCACACAAGAATAAGAATTATTGATTAGACTGCTATATCATATATGAAACCTGAGACAGGGGTCACTAAAATGCATCATTCCCTTTACGTGCATGCCTTTTTCCAATCAGAATCTGTTGCTGCTCAACCCTACTGAGCGTTACCTAACAGAGCAGAGTTTGAACCATCCAGCCTTCCAGCCTCTGAGGCAGGCAGAGAGAGAGAGGCCTCCGCCTGCTTCTCCCAACCCGCCACGCTCCTCCAAGAGAAAAACACACCATCATGGAGAGAACACGGTTCCTACAAGGTTAGAAAGCAATCCTTTATTTCAGGCTTCTGCCAGAGTGTCTACATGCGGTCGTCTTACAAAGCCCAGATTGGATGTCTCTGTGTTAACACTGCTGCGTTATAGTGACGGACTTTTCATCACATCTAATGTCAGATACTGTTTGTATCTGATTACATCAAGATTTAGTGTTTCTTTATTTTTTTAAAACCAATGCCATTTTAGTGTTTGTTTTTGTTTGTTTTTTTCATTTTAACATCCCAGCCCAAGTTGAAAGCTGCAAAGCCAGTTTAGCTCACTGAGTTGAGCAGGCAACCACATGCCATATGGATGAGAGTGACCAGCCTGGGTTCGAGTCTGACCTGCAGCACTTTGCTGCATGTTTTCCTCCTCTCTCTCTCCCTCTGCTTTCCTGTCATTTCTTCACTGTATCTGTCAATAAAGGCCAAAAATAAGAATTTGATCAGAACCACTGACAGCAAATGCAGTATTAATTTATGCACAACTCTCTTTAGTTCCTGCATTCTCTTTTCAGCCATTCTGCTGAAGATTTGCTGCTGTGCTTGTGGTCGTTGTCATGTTGGTTGACCAGGTTTGCATCGGGCTTTAGCTATCAGACCTCAGGTTTGACTCCTGATTACTTTAGTATACAGAGGAGTTCATGGTTGTTAAGACTGTAAAACAAGCTCAACAAGCTCAGATCATCACCACTACACCACCGTGCTTGACAGTTAGCATAAAGTGTGTTTGGTTTTCGTCAAATGTGGCGTTGTGCGTAACAACTAAACATCTCCACTTCGTTCTTCTCTGTCCAAAGGACATTGCTTCAGGTCTTTGTTTAGATGCGACTTTTCAAAGCAAAGCTGTGCTGCCGTGTTATTTTTCGAGACAGGAACCTCGATCTTGGCACCATTTCCTGTTCAGGCAACTATTCAGTCTGTCTAATTGTAGTGTCGTGAACTTTAACTTGCTCACAGAGGGCTGTAGAGTCTAAGATGCAGCTCTTGGGTTTTCTTGAAATTCTCTGTGAACTGCACAGTCTGACCTTAGAGTGAGTTTGCTGGGATGTCCACTCTTGGCAGCCATCTGAAATGTTTTACACTTGTGAGTAATCTTTCCCACTGTATAGTGATGAAATTCAATTAGTTTGGAAATGGCCTATAAACTTTCCAATACTGATGGCCAGAAACTGTTGTTACTCTAAAATAACGCATACGCTTAAATGCTCGCACCTTCTGATGTTCAGTTAATCAAGTGCATTTCATTAGACCCCAGCTGCTACTTACCCTACTAATTCCTATGGAAGCAGTTCGAGTGTATTTGGCTTTTTGAACACTGTATCTGCATTTTGATTTAGTTTTTCTTAAACAGATAATGACACAGTGTCATAGGCCACATGTTCTAGTTCATCTGGGTTGTATTTATCTAATTTTAGCTATTTTTTGCTGTAATTTTAATATGTTTGTCGAAAACGCGTCTCTCTCGTAAATGAGACATTGCGTCTCAACCTGTGTTCATAAAAGTTAAATTAAATAAGTAAATGAAAACCTGTCCTGATATATAACACTTCACTGGCTTTCATTTTCACATGACTGTATTTTATAACTATATAAACAATGCTTTTGTGAGATAACAGAATATTTTCTTTCAACGCGTCTGCTCAGATTCTTTCCTCGTTGTTCTCTTCTGCTTCTTTTTTTTTCTTTTTTTCATTTGGGACTCAAATAGATACATCAAAAATAAGTTATTCTCATTATTTTGACTCACTTGTAGATGTGGAACTGAAAAATATTAAACAAACTCTTGGTCTCAAATTGTATATTTTAGATTAAAATGCTCATCTAAGGCTTGATAAGCTCGTAACATTTTAATGAAAGAAAGGATAAAAAACAGAATCAGAGTTTGCAAGAATAGTTACACTTTACGTAAACTACTTTGGTTCTGACACCATGCTGACAGGAAAATCATATAGATTGATTTAATAAGATGCTTTCTCTGGTGCTTGAAAGTTACACTTTTAGTTCTCTGACCAAGATACAGCTCTCGATGATGGATCATCAAGGCTTGTAAAACTACATCAAACTAATAAGCCACGAATCAAGGTCTTAGAAACCGGACAGATCAGTGTTTTTTTTTGGGTGGTGGGGTTATTAAAAAAAAAAAAAAATTAATATATTTTTAAAGTAAAATACTATAGCTATTTTAACTTTTTGTAATGTCATATAGGAAATGCTTCCACAAGCACTTTAATAAACGGTTGTAATATTTGTATAAGAGATTATTTTCAATTTAAAAGCATAGACTGTCATATCCAGATGGTGTTTTTGGTTTACAGCAGTAAATATTAGAACACCATGCTAAACGGCCCTCCCTCTGCTCCTACAGGAGTCACACTAAGAGTTCAAGCCGTCGTTCCAATAGCAAAGAATGTTCCAGCCTCCCTCGCCACGGAGACCTCCATCACCTCGGGAATGAGAGTTTCCTCAACGGCAACAAACCGGCACCATCCAGTTTAAGTCCGACTCTGCACCCCAAGGGCCAGTACATGTCCCAGACTCTTAATCGTTCTATCTCCTCCAGCAAAGATCTGGTTAACAACAACCTGCCACACCTGCTCAGCCCCAAAGAATCCAAAAGCAAAACAGAGTTTGATTTCAACTTGGGACCCTCCCCGAAGTTGCCGGACCAGGGACATGGGGTAAAGTATGGCCACGGCAAACCCAGCTCCTCTCGCTCTCAGCAGCAACAGCAGCAGCAGCAGCAGCAGCAGCAGGTCAGTCGGCACACTTTCCTGGAAAACAAAACTAACACCCTACAGTCTGGGGCAGAAAAACAACACAGTCGACACGCCCACAGTATGGCCGACTCTGCCCACGGATCCATGTCCTCATCCTCTAAGAGCTCAGCGTCTTATCTCAGTCTGTCCAAGAGCCACAGCGGACTGAGCGATGCCAAATCTGTGGGGAATCTCAGCGACGGTCGACTCCACCCGGATGACCCAAACTCTAACACGACAGCTGGGGTGGGACCCAGTGCCCGCTTCTTCCCTGCCAGCTGTTTAGACCTCAACACCCCTTCAGGTCCTTCTGGGCCTCCTGGCAGCCCCTCTACTCGACACAGTGATCGATCTGGACACAGCCCCGCCTCTCGTAGCAGCGGCAATGCCCGCATGGAGAGCAGCACGCTGGACTCTTCATCCAGGCACAAATCCAGACATAAATCTTTAGTGCCAGGTAGGTTTCATTCAAGTCTATTCATTTTACACTTTAAAAGCTTTATAAAAAAACAAAACACATCATCGCAGTGGATTCCAGCAAGAAGAACAAACAAGAAAATAAAAAAGATTGGCCTGATCACTTAAATTAGTTTGGACAGTTAAATAGTAGAACACTTGTAACTGTTCACTTCTTATCGCTCTGCTAACTTTGACTTCTTTTCCCGTCTCCAGAGGACGCTGGTGCGCCGGAGCTCTTGGACCCAGGAGGACCTGGGATGCCCTCCACTCACACTCTGCCTTCCCCTCACGAGTCTTATCATTACGGCCTCGGCTATACCTCGCCTTTCTCCTCTCAGCAGCGGCCACAGCGCCACTCCATGTACGTGAGAAGGGAACGCCACCGGCCACACGGAGTGGAGACGGCGATGGCGGGCTTGCCTCCGCCGGGGCAGGCGATACCAACACGAGCCAGTAGCCTGCAGCTCCTCTCCCCACAGCTGCAGCACAGGACCACCCTCGCTGGACACTCAGTGAGTTCTTCGAGGGAGGACTGCACGGACGACATGACGAGGGTTAGTGGCAGAAAGTGCCTCGAACGTGGCGGGATTGAGTCTAAAATAGCAACAGACACACAATGAAAAGCTTAAATTAGGGTGCATTATGTTGAATGATGACAGCAGTTTTTGTAGTTCCCCACACACTTCCCCACCAATCTGAAAAACCAACACCAGTCATCGCTCATAAGGATTTCTAAACACATTGCCATTCTTTATGCCAGAATTATCTGACCATGATCTCTCCACATTTTAACGACCCAGTCCAGAGTCCTCCAAAATTAAAAAGAACTAAAATTGTTGTTTGCCCCACTTTTAAACCCATTTGTCCTAATGCTAGTACAATTAATTAAACAGCAAACCACAAACAAGGTCAAATGGTGCATTTCAATGACATGAATTAGTTCAGAAGTCCGATCCAAGTGGCCATTCGAGGAACTGTTTTTGGTGTTTCCAAACAGGCTGCCGCTTACTCATGCACAATAGAAATAAGTCATAAACACAAGTAAAATTGCTCAAAACACACAAAATTTCAACCTCCACAGCAATAGTGGCACAATAACGCATAAATGATGTGTCAAAAACTTTTTAAAAGGGATGTTGACGGTGATTGGAAAGCACTAAGGTCAACAGAAAAGGCAGGTGAGGTGTTGCTCATTCGTAAAAGACTTTGACATTTTAACTGAATTTCTCGTGAGATAATGGGAGGTGGGTGCAGCGTCAATGTTTTAACTTTTCAGTAAGTGCTTGAAAACCTTTTTCTGGTTCCCAAACACGATCACTAAAGCTCTGCGTCTGCAGTTTAAAAGCCCGTCTGAAGGCAATAATAAGTGGGGCTGTTTTCTTGGAATTGTTCTAAGTTACAGAAAGATGATGGAGGATGAGGCAGGTTGGTGAAAAATCACACAGAGACAAAATTACAGTTCCTGAAATGTATGAAAGCTCATCCGCGGAAGATATTAAACAATGGAAGCGGAACAAAGGGTGAAATGTTCCTTTGTTATGTGCACTGACTGTCTGTGTGTGTTTGTGAGTATGGGTGTTTCATGATTTGATGTGCGTGTGTGTGTAGGAAGTGTCACTGTCTCGCATTATCATTGCCACTGCTTCATGCTGCTTCTCCAGTCTGCTTTGACCTGCAGCTGTCCGTCTTCTCAACAGAGTGAGCAGTCCCCTAAAGACATGAGCCACCCTTGTGCCCCCATCAAAGACTCTACGCGGGACAACACTGCTGCTTTTCTTACACAGCGCTCTAAAAACGAGGTCCGACCCCCCGACTCCTCCCTGTCTCCAGCCAGTTCAGCAAACACAGAGAGTAGCTCTTCTGACTGCTTTTCTTTTTGTGTTCCTACTTAAGCCAACAGCTTCACTGCACGTTGTCGCTGGTATAAATGTAGCCTCACTGAAAAGCGCTAAGATGTCCTGAATGTTTGTGTTGTAAGCCAGAAAAGACTGCGATAGCTAATGATAAGGGATGAAGTGAGATTAAACAGGAATGTCGCTTAAAACGATAAAGGCTGAGAAAAAAATTGTATGTTCCTGTTTCCCTGTGTGTGTTCGTGGGTCTGCACGATGTGTGCACTCTTTAGGTTGGCATGTACCACGACCCTCACGTTGAGGACGGAGCTTCCTCCAAGGAGAACCGGATGATCTTCACTGAGTCCATGCCTCGGAGAGTAGGGAGCTTTTATCGAGGTAAGGAGCAAGAAATAACAGTAAAACCTGTATGGTTCCTCTTTCTTTTGTTTATTATTCCTTTGACACAAAGAAGATCAAAGATCACACATTCATCATATTTAAATGATCAAAAACAGTCATTTCCACCTCTCGTTGTTTCTCCTCAGTCCCTTCTCCCAGGCCAGATAACTCCTCTTTCCACGACGGCGTCGGCCAGGGTCGAGGGCCAGTCGTACCCATTGTACCCGGAGACCCTGTCGCCATGGCCAACCACTCCAAACGCCAGACAGCTTTTGACTGGTGAGAGTTCATTTGTAGTCTTTATGTGGCATGTTGAGGCAGCAGTGCAGTAAATGTAGGAACAACAGTGGATTAAAGAAACATGAACAACTTTTAAATTGTTAAGCCTGCTGTTAGAATTGTGCACGTCCAGTACAGAGTGTGTCAGACGTGCAGGACGTTCATGGATGAAGACGTTTTGTTTTGTTTTTTTCTTCTTTATAGTTTCCTTCCCCGATCTGAACATCATCCCTGCTGTTAAAGTGTCTGACTTTTTTTTTTCTCGCTGTGTCATTAACACCAATTAAGATCTATTGTTCAGACTCTGTGCTGCTGCACTGAATACATATAAACTCTTTATATATATATGATGGGTTATTCCATGAGATAATAAAATCAGCCAATCACATAGCACCTTTGTGAATTTAGGCATGTAGATATGATCTGCTTAAGTTCAAACTGAGCATCAAAGTGAGGAAAAAAGATGATTTAAGTAACGTTGAATGCTGTATGGTTGTTTTTTGAGCATTTCAGAAACTGCTGATCTACTCTGATTTTCCCACACTGTCATCTCAAGGGTTTACATAGATCCAAAAAAGAGAAAATATCCAGTGAGCAGCAGCCTCTGGGTGAAAGAGCCTTATTTGTGTAAGAGGTCAAACAGCTTCAAGGTTACTGGAAAGCAACAGTAAATCAAAAAAAAAACACGCTTTACAACCAAGGCATGCAGAAGAGCATTTCTGAACCTTGAAGCAGATGGACTACAGAAGCAGAAGACCACACTGGGTGCCACTCCTCCCAGCTAAGAACAGGAAACTGATGTTTTCATAGCCTTACAGTTGAAGAGTGGAAAACGCTGCCTGGTTTGATGAGTCTTAGTTTCTGCTGCAACCTTTGAATTTTAGGGTCAAACTTTGGCATAAAAAGATGAAAGCGTGGCTCTATCCTGCCTGTCAATGGTTATGGCTGCTCATACTGGTGTAGAGATATACCAGATACTAGTATAGAGATATTTTCTTGGGACCCTCTGGGACCCTTATTACCCTCAACTAAGCATTGTTCAAATGCCACAGCCTATCTGAGTAGACCATTTCCATCCCTTTATGACCACAGTGTACTCATCTTCTGATGGCTACTTCCAGCAGGGTAATGTGCCGTGTCACAAAGCTCAAAAAATCACAAACTGGTTTCTTAAATATGACACTGAGTTCATTGTACTTAAATGGCCTCCACAGTCACCAGATCTCAGTCCAATAGAGCATGTTTGGGATGTAGTGGAACCATAGATTCTTATAATGGATGTGCAACCAATGAACCTGTGATGCTATCATGTCAACATGGACCAAAATCACAAAACTGTGTTTTGCTTTGTTTATTCTTCAAGTGGACTGTATGTGGTAGCAGTGGCTGCAGAAGAAGCCTGAGTTCCTCAGAAAGAGTATATTGTTTTTTACGTAATGACTTTTGAAATTGTAAATCGTGAGGATTATTAAGTTAGACTCCTTTACTGTGCTGCATGTGTTATTTCATAGTGTATGGTTTCTATGTATTACTGTATTATGTATTTTGTTTGCTCCCATGCACGTTATAATCCAAGTTATATGAAACGTTTCCACATTTGCCATGCAGGACTACTGCAGAAGCAATGGTCATGAATCCTCCAGAGCCCGCCAAAGAGAAGGAAAAGCAAGGCTTCTTCAGAGCCATTAAAAAGAAAAAGAAGAAGTCACAAATAGTAAGATTATTAATGACTTTTTATTAATAAGATTATTCTTGTCACCTGGTTTTTCAAATCAAATATTTGTATTTTGGTTCCATGTGCTGTGCGCCTTTTGAGTTTAGCACGTACTGATTGTAAGGCAGGATCTGCAGTGTCAATATTTTCTTGCAAAAATGTTTCATATGAGCTTAACACTGACATCTAGTAAGATTAAAGGGAAATTCGATTTTATTTGAAAGCTCTTAAAATTGTCGAGTATATCTTAAAGCAAAAGTTGCTCTGAAGTTTCACCGTCTCTTTTTTGCTTCCTGTTTATCACATATTCCTCCTCCTCTGCAGTTGCTCTTCTCTTGGATGTCAGAGATTTGTGTTTAGAGTTGTGGCTGTGCATCTTCTGCTTCACAGACCGACATGGAGGACGGGAGGAATCCCAGCATCAAGAAAAGCCTTTTCCCCCTCTTTAGCTCTAAAAATAGCTTAAAGCACAACTCAGCTGTCAAAGTCCTACCTGTAGTCGCCTCGCCTATGGTACAACACCAGCCTGCCGCGCCCTACCCTGCCTCACCAGTAATCTAACCCCGACGCTGTGGCTGCATGTTGACTTATTTTGCACTCACTGGAATGACCCAGTTTGAAATCCTCTCAGTTGACTGATTGATTGGCTAAAGAAAATTTTTTGCTGAAAGGATTTCAAACACAAACATATATATATTTATATATTTAATGCTGCACGCTGTTTTCACATCCATTTTGTCTTGCTATAACGTTTGTCAAATGCAGTCACGTTGCACTCACATTGCATCGTGAGACATTTCAACGTGCAGTGTGCTGTTTGTCAGGCCAGCGTAAGGCATCATTTTATCATGAGAGGGTCACGAACATGTTCAGCACATGAACACACACTCCTGCTGTAGAAATTACTGGTCTCTTTGCTATGTTGTGTAATAATGCTGAAATCATGAATAGTTATTTCATAAAATGTGCTCATTTAGCTCCTTTCTGAGAGCTAGATTAGGCTAACTAGCTAGCTTAGCAAGGCTGGAAACAGGGAAAATGGCAGATAATTCAACTTATCAGCACTTCCTAAAGGAAGCTGATTATGCTTTTCCTTATTTTCTGTTTCTTTACTTGTAGTGCACCTGGTTACATTTTCTGATAATGATGCTGCTATGTGCAAATAATCCCTATGAGGTAAAAGCTTAGGCTAAACTTCTTTAAACAAATACTTATAGAATGTTTTTTTTAATTGTTTGATCTGTTCTTCTTAGTATGGTCAACTCAGCTAGACAGATCTGGCGGTAAGCACAGTAGCCCCACCCATTTTTTTAAGACTTTTTGTTTGTAAAGGGCGACCAATCAGATGAAAGTTGTATTAAACTGAGGCGGAGTTAAAGAAGGAGGAGCTAAAACAGATTGTTTCAGACAGTGGATGAATAGAAGGGCTGCACGAGTGTACAATATACAATGAAATACTTTGAAGTAACAGTGCAAAACTACTCCTTATATATTCCAAAAAATACAGAACTGGAATAAGGAAAAGAAGTACACTTTAAGTAGTTCTTATGTAGCCAACTGGTACATGAAGCTGAGTAATTGTGTATGAAGCGAAGAGAAAAAAGGCCAAAGATTTACTAGTTTCATTTTACCAACAGTAAGAATTTGCTGTTTGTCGCTGGTTTGTATCATTTTTCTTTTTGACCTTTTATGTAAGCAAATGACCAACTATCAAACTGCCCAGTGATGATATTAATTATTAGTTGCATCTCCAGTTTATATTAAAGCTTATCTAAACACACTCAGACACCAGAGCAGAGAGTTAAGCATTTTTTCATAAGACAATCATCATCGCCACTTTCTTGTCTCATGTCTGTTTCTGCCAGAGCAGTGCATGAAGGGCTTCACCGGGATTTTAGTGAGATGTGCGATCATCATTTTTATGTATTTGTTTTGGATTAAAAATAACACTTCCATATTTCTATTTCTGGAACGTCAGGTTCCCGGGAACGGACAGGATCACTTGTCCCTGCAGAGGAGCTCCAAGTCGTCCTCTCACCACAGCAGCCGGCGGAAAAACCGCGAGCGATCCCGAGACAGAGATCGAGAACGGGAACAGAGCCGGGACAGAGACCGGGACAGGGAGAGGGAACGGGAGCGAGAACGAGAGAGAGAAAGGGAGAGAGAGAGGGAGAGAGGGAGGGAGAGAGAGAGAGTCACTGACTGGCCTGACAAACAAGTGGACTCACACTCTCAGGTATGTGCCTACTTTAATCTGCAGTTTAGATTTATCTACAGATCACAACCCAGTTTGAGTCTTTCATCTGATTTTTTTTATTAGATTTTTAAAAACAACAATACTTTATCTTGTCATACATACTTAAGTTTTCCTATAAATTATATACTGAAGTCACGAAACTAGAATATATAGCGCCGTGCTCATAAAAAGTGTCACAATAAAGCTCCCAAGACTCAAGGCCCAAAGAAAGGGAAACTGTATAATCTATAAAAGGTCAAAGGTTTTTATTAAAACTGAACCTTAAGAAGAACCTTAAGAATGGAAAAAAAACAGGCCTTGTAGAAGTACATTTAGTATTAATGCCATTCTCGCATTATTCCTACATTTACTTTCATGCTTTTAGGAGTACGAAGGAGGAAGCTATTTTCACACATGCAGTGTAGACCTGAACTTTTCCAGACATTACCCAGCAGTAGGGCGCCCAGGTGTCCCACTTTATGTAGGACAGAACAGTGTTTTATCCTCCGTTCCCCCAACCCACATAGTGAGACAATGCCCCACATTCTGATTTAGTGGAGTCAACATGTGTTAGTCTCAAAGGAAGCAAGTGGTTTACTCAAACCCAAAGATGATTAGCAGGGAGAACAGCAGCTGGAATAACCATTAAGGTTTAAATGTTATTGGGACAGAAAGGGAATAAATGAGTGAAAGAAAAGTACTCAACAAAATCAAACCTTAAGCTTGAATTGAATTTTTATTGCATTTATTTATAATGGGACTTAAAATGTTGCAATTTGTTCTTCACAAACCACTAATTAGAATCAAAGTAACCGAAACATTAGTAGCATTTCCTGCCTTGTCCCACATAAACATACAGTTTGACCCACAGTTAGCTTTTGGGATCTGGTCACCCTACCTAACAAAAGATATATTAAAACACAAATGTCTGATATTAAAATCAGTTTTATCCTGACAGCTATTTACTATTAAAGCAATTGTTTAATTTAAGAATATAGCTGGTAATGTTGCTGGGAAAGACTATCTCCTGCTGTATAGTGCGTGTGAGACTGACCTAGATTCTCCCAACAGTGTGTGAGACTGGCTTTAGTACTCGGCAGACAGAAAACATCGTTTTCACCCATCAACTCCAGACAATGTCAGGAGAATCAGGTCGGGGTTTTGTCTGAAGTTGACCTTTCTTTCATGTGTCACACAGCAGGAGATAGTCCTCCTCAGGTCCATGCTCACTAATCGAAATGCACATTTTAGGCAAGATAGCTACCTGGGGATAGCATCCTTGAGCCAATGTGAATTCAACAGACAGTTACCTGCAATACTGTCACATGGCCTCAGCACATGTGACACACTGTTGGGCTTGGTCATGGGATTTGTAAACAATAACAAAAATATAGTTTTATTTTTTAAGATAATTCATCAGTGGTGTCTCTTTCCCCCCCTGCCAGAGCCAACCACTCAAGTCACTACGTAGGCTCCTTCACCTCTCCCCTTCTTCCTCAAATCAAGGACAGGCTCCCCCTCCTCCTCCTCCTCAAGACCTGCGCTTCCAAGCCCCCATGCCCAACCCTCCTCAGCCCTCCTCCAAAGCAGGCTACCCCGAGGGTCGAGGTCATGCCGACAGCAGGGGGCACACTGGGGTGAGCAGCTCCACCCAGGCTAAGAGCCGCAAGGCCAGCTACCCCCTGCCGGGACAGATAGAGTCCAGCTGGCACGTATCTGCTTTACAGCGGGCAGAGGGGGCTCAGTTCACCTCTGAACAGCTGGGCATCAAACCGGGTCAGAATGGACCCACTTTTACCCGAGCCTCCCGCACCAGGATGCCAAACCTCAACGACCTGAAGGAGACCGCCCTCTAAAACCTCTCAACCACACCACCTCCGATGCAGCTCCATCCCGGAAGCACCTGCCAGAATGCAGACATCGTGGTACTGCAGTAAGGGTCTACACAAGAGCCTTTTTCACTGGATCAAGTCCTAATTCAGAAATGTAGTAATCTGTCGATGCTCATGCCTCTGAAATCTAAAAGCCTAGACGTTGACCGGCCAAACACCTGGGACAGTGTGGTTTAGGGAAGCAAAGATAGGGAAGGGCCCATCGTTTCTTGAGATGCCAGTACTGTATCAGCTCTATATTATTGTCTGTCTCTACTTGCAAGGTTACATCAGAACAAGCTGATCATCCCTGTCAAGGAGACACTGCCCATGTGGCCTCTTTGCTGCCATCTTCTGTTCACAGGACGCTACTGCAACACATTAGACAGCCACTGTCATAGCAGTGGCCAATAAACTCAAATGTTTTTCAAGCTCTGATATTTGATAAGAACATAAAAAATGATTTATATTAACATTATTTATGAAATATTTATTTGTTTTAAATTCAAGGATATAAGCTATAAATGACACAGTATGTAGGTTATATGGGAATATTATAAGGTAATATAGAATTAAATGTGTAATTGCAAGAGCTTTAGTTTCGACACAAAGAAATGCATAGATATTTATGTGTTGATAATACAATATGTCACAAGGAATATTTAATAATGGTGAATGTCTTTTTTTTTTTGTTTGTTTGGTTTGATATGTTATTAGCAGATTATCATGTTATGTTGTTTTTACCCTTTTTTCTGATTGTTTCATCAAAATGTAAAAAGAAATACTGACAAATATATAAAATATCTGATATTACAAATAGTGCAAATCTGCCCATCACCCTCATGACATCAGTTTTGACGTTTTGTGACAAGTTGGGCTATTTGTTAGCAGGGTTTGGTAGCAGAACAGCCAGAGTGAGACTGTTAGGCTCTGTGCTTCACATATTGTAATTGTCAGGTCATTTTATCTTACATTCCCATTGTCGCAGTTTTCAAATTTGCCCATTTTTCAGTCCCTCAGTTCGTTTAGTGACAAACAGCTTTCCAGCATCTTGTTGCTGCCATGTTGGTTTTGTCCACAGCCTTAAAAACCATTTAACGGGCATCTTCGCCCACATCACCACGCAGCTCTAGTGAGGGAGGTTTACCTAACATGACATTGAAAATTTAAAGTGTTTTGAGACGGCAGGGAAGCTCTCTGCAAAAAGGCATACCTCACCTGCAACCTTTAAGATCTTAAAGGATAAGTCTGGTAATACTTTATCTTTATCCATTTATTTATTTATTTATTTTGTCAGAAATTCCAAATGCATTGTCTGTGCAGCCAAAGTGGGGTGTATGTGCTCTAAAAATCTTTAGATTCATTTTAATTTGTTATTGAAATTTGTTATTGACTAAAGTAGAGAATATGCTCATTTTAATATAGTAAGTACAGTACTTGAGTGAATGTGGTTACTTACATTCCCCCACTGGCTGGGTGTGGGCTTTTCACAGGACTTTGCTGACGCCATGAATTATATGAAATAACACCAGACTTATCCTATAATATGTGTTTACATTTCCTGTGTGCATTTTAAAAGCTTGTGTTATCAAGAGTTTTGTAAAAGTCTTTTGTAAATCTGAATTTGATTTTCCAGTTTGCATTACTATTAACATTAACAGTCATAATCAGGGATGATTTTACTTAACTTGATTGTTCATTAAAGCATTTACTAATTGTCTTCTGATCTGTGGGCAATGTAAAGCTGAGGTGTGTAGAATGAAAAACATTTTGTGGCCTAGGGGAAGTATACAGCATTGTTTTTCCCCAGTTTTTCCATTATTCTTCATTCTGTCCTCCTTAATATAAAACAGTATTAAGGCCGCTGGGGGGGGAACAAAAAACAAAATAAACAGTCTTGTTGCATTATTCTCAGAATTCTGATTTTAATTTGAGAATTCTGGCTTTTTCTCAAAAACCTGACTTGAGTTGCATAATTCTTTAATCTGACAATTCTGACTATTTTTCCAGACATTTTGCTCAAACATCTGACTTGTTCTCAAAAATCTGGCTTTAATCTAAGAATTCTAACATTCTCCACAAAAATCTGAATTCAATTGGGAAATTCTGACTTTTTTTGTTTTTCTCAAAACTCAGATTTTAGTAATTCAGGCTTTTTCCCATAATTCTGGATGTAATCTAAGAACTGTGACATTTTCCTCAAAAATCTGACTTTAGTTGCAAATCTTTTTTTTTTTTTTTTTCCCCTCAAAATTCTGATTTTAGCAATTCAGGCTTTTTCTCAAAAGTCTGTCTTTAATCTAAGAATTCTGACCTTTTCCTCAAAAATCTGATCAATTTTCTCAATGTCTGTCTTTTCTTCAAAACTGAATTCTTCTCAAAATTATGATTAACTCTCAAACAAATCTCTCCCTCAGAGAATTCTTAGTTTAAAGTTAGACTTATGATTTTGTTTTCCTCAGGATTTTGAAGGGAAAAAAAGTCATGACCTCAAATTTCTTTCTTCAGTGGCCTTAATTCCCTTTCATACGTTTGTGATTTGAAAGCATAAAGCAAAAAAATGCATTCCAAATGCCATCACAGACAAAAGGAACAAAGAACAGAAGAATGGTCCATGAAAAGTTTGGATCCCCATTTGGTGAAAATAAGAATCAATCACAGTAACTTGATGGTTGACTGAAAGCAATAACACTCACTAAAAGACTCGGAGTGATGCGGATTGTATTAGCCAAATCGGCAGCTAGATGGATTTGAGCCAAATATAGCACAAAGAAGGATTTCCTGCAGGAGACTGTGATTACAGCAAGTGTTGGCAACTGTTGGTATGTGACATCACATCATTCTGCAATACATTTTTTACATTTTTCTTAAGTTTATCCCACAGAAGGTAAAACTGTCCCATGTTGTGCGCTTGTGTACAAAATCCTCATTGCTAATGATTGTAAATGACTGCTGACATGGGTTTGTTTATATCACTAATGGGACAAAGTGATGATGAAGTTTACCTTGCTAGTGACCCGAAGCCTTACGTTAGTTTATCGACTCAACGCGTCAGATGGAAATGAAGGCTTCAACCCTCAGCAGGTCGCACACGCTGAAAACTGAGATGAGAAGAAGACTTTTTGTTCAGAAATATGAATGTGTTTCCTATAACATCAATTCTCTTTTTTTGTCATTAAGCTGTTTCCCACTTCTGACAGGGTGTAAATAAAAAATAACAGAGTATCTATACTGACCGTTCTACTTTAAAAATGATAGGGTCTCATAATAAATGCCAACTGTACATTTTTGAATGTCTCAGAGTTTGTTTTGGAGCACAGACGCAACATAAAAACAGACACATATTTGTTTATTCAAGGACATGGTTTAAAAATACAATAAAGAGAACATCTTCAGAGCAATTCAGCTCTGCAATGTATTCCTAAGTGTAATGGGAAATTCAAATATAACATTAAAGCAATCAGGAATTTTTAACAACAGCACCAAACAACAACAAAAAAATCAAACAAGAAAACAGTAACTCAAATGAGGCAATAAGACCAAAAAAAAAATCCATATTAACAAATTCATTGAAAAGACTAAAGACAGCAGTCTGTTACACCTATCTGATTATCTAACAGCTGTGCACAACATCTGGTGGTAACTGGTGTTTAAGCTGCAGAATAATATGCATTTGTTCTAATTTGACCTACCAGATGATAAATTATGTATATATGACTGTTTACTATATATTATATTTGGACAAATAATTAATTAGAAATGTAAAAAAGCAAAACAAACATTCAAAATTAAATAAAGAAAATATGAATTTAAAAAAATGCTGTAAATGCAAACAGTAATTGTAATTAGGATGACCTTGTTGTTGTTTTCGGTCTTTTCATGGGATTTGCTGAAAATATGAAAAATGCAGACTACTACCACACCGATTCATTAAGGTAAATAAGGAGGGGAGACTTACTGTGTAAATTCCCAGCTACGCTCAGATTATCAGGAGAAGCAGACAGAATTTTATTGACCTATCACAGAACGATTTGGATTTCTAACATGAGCGCAGATTCAACCGCCATAGCAACGCTACCTCTCCCTCTCCATGCCTAATTACTGCTTTCAGTTTATGCCGTTTCATTGCAAATGGAGCAATCTATTGAGAACTCCCCAAATTGAAGTGAGACTGGTTTAATACAGACAATGCAGAGTGGAGTGAATGAGAGCTCATTGTACATATCAAACAAACCTGGTTTAATGCATTTATGTAAGTGTGTTTTAGCTGTTTTGTTTGTATTTTTTAAAGGGGTTGGGGGGAAGTGGGGGGGTTTACATGCATTTGTTCATGCAGAGCAGCAGCTCCAGGCGCAGAGCAATGCGTGTGTGCCATCCCAGAGGGAGGATGCGAATGTAGCGAGCAACGATGGGCGGCCGCAGAAGGTTCTGCACAGACGAGGACCGGTCAGAGTTCCCATAAAACACCTGAGGAAAGACAGAAAGGCAAGATTAAGGTATAGATTAGTTAAAACCAGCCATTGCATTAAAGCTACTATTTCTAGAATCACATGGTAGTTGACTTGCAAACAGTTAACGTTCAGTTGGTTTTCAATGACTGATTAACAGTTTAAATCACTTCTAAAATATGACTTCTCATGACGTCAGTATCAGGCAAATATAAAATGCCTAATGTTTCATGCAAAGAGGCATGGACAAAGAATTATGTAGCCTCATTCTTAGCCTAATCAAAAAGAAACCTCCGGTGTCTGAGTATGAAGGGCATTGCATAAAAACAATTTCAATAAAAAGAATAATAAATGGCTCAAAAAATAAATTTAAAAACCATTGAATACATAGAAAAAATATATTTAAAAAATGTTGGCAGCAATTAAATTCGCTGACATACATGTCTTTTGAATTAGGTTACTGTTATATTGATTCCTCTGTTTATTTGTGTTCCATTTAATTTAGTATTTTATTTATATGCAACTGTCAAATACTGCATAAATACATTAAAAAAAAGATGAAAAAATAAAAGGAACTGTAGGTCAATTAATAGAGACTCCTTATTTTTATATATTATATTTTCATACATTTCATGTCATATTATTTATTAAATTAGGCACTTTCAGGCCTCCATACTTGAAGTGTTGAACATTATTCAGTGTATCCAAAGTGCACTTAACTGACCCTGTTGTTTCCAGTCTGGTCTTTGTAATAGATCCAGTTGAGCTTCTCATCTGTTCTGTACTGAACACTGTACTTGGTAATCCACTCATCGGCATCACAGCGGCCCTGAGTGAGAATCCCTGACACCACCGTCACTTCCCTTAAGTCAATCTGCAGCCACTGACTGCTGTCCTGGAACTTAGACAGCCAGGCGCAGCTGGAGGAGAAAGAAAAACATTTAATATCAGCTCTGATTTATACAACAAATATCATAGTTGGTCACGACAGTTTAGCACAACGCAGGACAGAGAAATTTACTGCTGTTTTTACAATATCTTCTCTAAAGATAAAATCCTGTTGTTTTGTGTTCTGAGGAAACTGACAGTTTTTAACATACGATATGATGTTTTGTTTTCGGAAAGAGAGAAAATGAAAGAAAGGATTCAACTTAATGCTTAAAAATTACAATATTTAGCATTTTTAAAAAGTCCTACTAGATTCTGTATGTTTTTTTCCCCATTTTGTCTCATCTATATGGTTTTTTAAGCAAGAGCATTTTGGTGTGTTTAAGTAACAAAATATACATAAGGAGTGTGTTTACTACACTTTTCCTCACAGATGATAAGAGTCATGATCTTTTTTTAAAAGAGACACAACAGTTGGCTGTGTGGTGCTGGCCTATATATATATACCTACCCAAAGCCCTGGCTGTTGAGTCGCGCCTTACTCGGTACCCATGAGGAGAACCAGCCAGTGTACTGGTCCTGGTTGGAGCAGGTAATCTGTTCTTGACTCACTGATCCAGCCTCAAAGCCAAGAGGTCTGTGGTAGGGACACTCTGCAAAGGAGATCGGAGACAACTTAACATGAGCGCTCTTAGTTTCAGGTAATATGTCTTCTTTCGCTGAAAGTTCTCGTGGCCATGAGATTTTAATATCGTCACCCTGAGAGAAGAGAATACAAACAGCTAGCTTAAGCCAAGCAGTGCATCACAAAAATATATATATATATAAAAAGACCATCAAACCACTAAGCCTCTCCTTAATTCTCCATTTCGGCATCCTTTCCTCTCTCCTAACCCCTGCAGATTCCCATAATCACACCCTCTCGCTCCCATGGCCCCCACTGTTAGGAGCCTCTGTGTGACCCATATCCCATCCTAAAATCCTGCAGTTTAATTCTCCGTGGTGAGAGATCAGTGATGTCCATTAGGGCAGCAGACGGACAGATGGCCATGTTCTGCTCTCCGTGGCTTTGGCTCCGTGTTGTTCTCTCGCTTCCTTTAAAATCACACGAGAGCCACTCCTTTACTTGGTAAATAAAGCCTTTAAATATGTGAATGAGAGAGAGAGAGACAGTGGTACATGAGTGAGAAAAACATCAGCTGTGGACACATGGAACAGAAACTGTAGTAGAAGTAGCCTGCTGCTCTTTTGTTTACTACTGGCTTAAGCCTATCTGGCACAGGGTTGCATCCTGTCTAATCCCAGTATTACAACACACCCGGCAGAAACGTCTGTGTGAGTCAGGAGATAAGTGTTTACATAACAGTAATGCAAATGCCTCTGTAGTCCTCCCTAATGTGTTTCCTGACTAAAACAACACATATTCAGATGGCTGAATCAACAGGCAAACTGCGAGGTGAGACTCCGTGGATTGAGGAACTCTGCGAACCCTGACGCAGAGCGGGCAGGAAAGTCTTTCTCACTCATCAGTTCTCATCCACGTAGCGGTAATTGCTGGTTTCTGTAATTGTGAGATCAGCATGGTCTATTATGAGCCCCGTAATCTCCGAATCATGCTCTAATATAATGATAGTCGGCAGAACTTCTTCCTCCTATCTGTTTCTGGTTGCCATGTGATTTGCGGCTCAGCTCAAACACACTGATTCACTCGTTTGTCAGCTCCTCTCCTCATCGAGTCAGACGTGATTCAGATCTGATCTTTAGCTCTCAGGCTCAAGTGAGGCTGTCAGAAGACCTTTTTTGTAGTTTCTTTGTAGGAGGTCCAAAAAAATAGGAAAACAAAACAGGTTTACAGATTTCACTGGGATTTAGTTTAAAAGCTAAATCCCAGGCTAAGTTGGCAAAGTGAGAGAGCGTTCAGTTTGAGGATGAATATGGTACGATTCAAAACTCAAGATCAGCTATTATTGGGCGCTGCAGTGAGATTATTTTTTGAGTGTTTCTGACAAACATCCAAATGCAGGTTTCCTGTTACTGAAACGGGAATTCTGGAGGACTGTGCAGTGTTATCACAGGTAGCTTCTGTTTCTTCACATGTCCCCCCCCTCTCTTCTTCCCTTTCTCCAAGGATGTCCAGTGAAGCATGTCCATCCACCCTGCGGCGTCAAATCTGGAGCCTAATGCACTCATTGCATGAACACGAACTATAGACACACAATTGCGCACACACTGAAACTATCCATCTACTTGTATCAGCAGTGATAATCGTCTGAGCAATTTTCAAGGAAGAGTCCCAGAAAATTAAAGCGTTCAGCTCCTCAAATATGAAGATTTGCAGTCTTACTTTGTCTTCAGTTGAATTTGCTTCAATTCTCTGATTGTGCAGCAGATTAATCAGTAATAAAAATCACTGTTAAGTACAGACCTTTCAGTTTTGAGCAGGTTAAACAACAGTTAATTCATGTCTATCTAACACACCCTTCCCTTCTCCTTTTAAGAACTATTATCACTTTAGTGGTGCAATTGTAGATCAGCAAAAGTCACGTAATAAATCTCATTAGTAAATAAGTCTTGACACAGGGGGTTAAAGCACACTGATGTTATGAATAAATTAAGTAGTGATTGAGATTTAAGCTACTTATACGATTCATGTCCACTCAGAGTGACGTTTAATGGCTCTCACCCGGCATGCAGTCCACTCCTCGCACCAAAGATGAGCCAGACCCAATGGAGTAAACCTCCGTCTGCGATTCGCCTCCATCACAATCACATTTGCAGGACTTGTTAGTCCACGCCCCAGGGTTCTTATACAGACACACATAAACAACGTTTATTAGCTGAAAATTGACATAGAGCTCATTTACAAATGATAAAAGGAGAATAATTTAACATAATAACTCTGGTCTGGCTGTTATCTGTGTTTTGCTGTTGATGTTGTTTTTCTTTCTTTTTCTTTACAAGCAAATCCTGACACTGTGACAGTTAAATCATCTGTGACATTTTGCTGGGTTGCTGAGATTTTTCATACCTCCTGAGCATAAATACCGATGAACACTGTTCAGCCAGATGGACAGGAGGGAAAAAAAGCCAGTTGATGAGGCACAGAAGAAGAAGAAAAAAACAGGACTGTTAGGGCATCATAGTCACCCTTTCTGGATACTAAAATCTGTGAATCAATCTGTTAGTTTAACCACATTAAGAAAAGGTAAATAAACACAACACACACTGGTAATACAATATAATATCAGTGCAACTGTAAGAGTGAAACTGTACCGTTTGTTCCCAGGAGAAGGAGGCCCAGCAGGAAATGTTGTATGATGAGAGCCATCTTCCAACCCGCTCCAAACCAGACCAGACTGACCATAGACTGAGCATTCAAGCTAGTAGTGATAGGAAGGCTGGATTACAATAATCCACGGGACACTAATGGCCTTATCTAATGCCATCCTTATCTAACAAAGCTCCTCCTCCAGCTATTCACCCATCACCATTAATGCCATCATACCTGGAAAATCTCCATGCGGCCACAGAGGTCAAAAAATCCTGCATTAAAAAAAAAGAAGACACCAGCGCACCCAATTGCCACACTAGAGTTGTGTGTGTTGTACAAGAGTGAAAGCAAGAGAGATGGATGCTGGTGGTGGCTGATGCTGGGCCTAGTGATCCATATGATTGGACAGAAGGACCTGCAGTTGGATGTCATCCTCAAATGTTTGCAGTTCTCTTCTATACTATCACGTTAGGTTTGAAGGAAGGAATGAAGGAACCTGGTTTTTAATACTTGGTTCTTTGCTGTGATGTAGTGACATAAAATTGTATCATATACATTGTTTAATTTTATTTTTATTTAAAAAATGTTTAAAAAAATAAAAAACAAATTTAAATTAAGAAATTTTTTTAAAAAAGAATTTGATTAAGAGTCTAAGTACATCGATGATATTACTATTTCACAAATGTATCAATGTACTATTGTTTAATCATAAACCATTTTTCTGTAGGCAAAAGTCTCTCATAAACATACTCTGTTTTATTAAAAATGAATGCATGCATTGTATATATTGCTTATAGATCTATTTTATTTCATGTTATTTAGTTATTTTGTTTTTGAGGGGATTTGAAATGCTGCAGGTGACAGGCACGTGGATAATTATCATCAGAAGCAACTTTTAAAAACAAAATAAGCGAGTGTCCTGTTCCTGTGTTTGTTTGAGCGTGGCATTTCTCCCGCCTCCCACTGAGGGTTTTAAAGCCAGGTGGGTAAAAATAATTAAGCCTAATCAAGCAAAGCTGTTGCCAATTTGTGCTGATTAGAGAACGAGTTTCACTCCCTGCGCGCCCTTTTGCTTTCACCAGTGGCCTTTTAAAAGAGATTCTGCATGTTGCACTCGGTGATTTCACTTCATGACAGTTTTTTCCCCCCTTCTAGGAACTTGCCACAGCAAACATGAAGGCGGCTATTCATGCAACGCGTAGGATCCCTCCATGCACCAAAAAGAGGATTCGTGCTTACTCCACTCTCATCTACAGAGCTCATAAAGAGGTCAGAATGCACACTGTAATTGTCTGGCCTGTACATGTTCCTATGTGATGAGGGACTGGTTTCACATGCACTTTCTTGGTATTCTTCTTCTGCAGGTTAGTCCTGTTGGACTGAGAAGTTCTGAGTTTCTGACCAGGAGGCATGGTGTCCCCAGACCGATCCTGCTCAGGCTTGTAGGCTTAGAGGCTTCTCGGCTGTCCAAGTCAAACAGGTTGAAAGTCATCACTCGGCGAGAGCTCAGTGCTGCTGTTGCACACGTACAACGGAGGATTCATGCAAGAGCCGCTGCATGAAGATATAGACTTTAAAACAAAATTTTATTTTTATTATTAAAGGGTTTATTTTAATCTTTGCCTCTTTATTAAAGTAAAACTATTAGGTAATTAACCCTAACAGCTGGTAGATGAAAGACTAGGACTGACAGAAAGTGTGTACGCTCAGATTTATGGTTGGAAATGTGGTATGTCAGGGGTGGGCAACTCCAGGCCTCAAGGGCCGGTGTCCTGCAGGTTTTAGGTGTGTCCTTGAGCCAACACAGCTGATTCAAATGGCTAAATGACCTCAACATGTCCTGAAGTTCTCCAGAGGCCTGGTAATGAACGCATCATTTGATTCAGGTGTGTTGACCCAGGGTGATATCTAAAACCTGCAGGACACAGGCCCTCGAGGCCTGGAGTTGCTCACCCTGTGGTATGTGGCGAGATCACTATAACACTATCAGTGTTAACGGGCTTCAGGATCACTGACTACAAAAACAAAATGATACTGTTTTGTATGAACATCCTCACACTGAAGCGGCTTAGAAACCCTGAAGTAGGTTTTTACAGCTGCTTTCTCAGCCCAATCTGAAGTGTCAGGAGAGGCTGGATGATTCAACAATATGGTTCAAACATCAGTAAACTTAAAGGGGAAAATCCATCCTTTGAAATGGCGAAGTCATGACCTTAACCCTGGGGAAATGCTTTGGCATGACCTTAAGTGCAAGTGTGTCTTGGTGGGAGGATTTTTCCAGGCTGCCCCCAAATAAAGGCTCTCTTGTCATAACTAGGATGAAAACCAGACTATTTTGAGTAAATGCATGTTTGTTTTCAGGAGGACAGAAGTAAGAATACACAGTTTTCTTATCATACTTGGTTAACAAGCTAATTAAACTGCATCTGAAAACTTAAAACGCTGTCAAAGGAAAAACGAGACTTCCCACTCGTCAAACACCGGCCCCTCCCGGGTTGAGGTTTCACTCCACCTGATGCCTCCGCCTCTTCTGTGAGCTCTCCTCCTGCACCAGTAGCTCCTGTTGCATGTAGAGCTGCTCCGGAAACGCTCCAGTCCTCATATCGACCTGTTTTTACACTCGAATCGATTTAATAAGCTATTAAGGAAATTTAGAGCGCAACCGTATTTTATTATTATTGGTATGAATGAACTGCATGACCCTGTCGCGCGGATAAGAGCTACAGGTAGGTTTGAACTGATGATTTTTGCCAAACAAACACCTCGTTGGAATACGATGCTGTCCTAAAAGGTAACGCGCAGTAAGACAATGAGCAGCGTTTTTATTTTATTTTGGTATGATTTGACTCGATTAACTAGCAGGATAATTCCTACTGTCGCTTTTTTGTATTGTTTTATTTTTGTAAGTTGAAGCCAATCCTGCACTGTTTGAATACATTGAAGGCAACGTGATAATCGAGTACTGCTTTAACGATGTGTCTCTATAAAGGGAGCACGTTCTCATATCAATCAGTGTCACCAAATGCCACCAAACAGCTTTGGAAGAAGCGGCTAATGTGAGCCCTTCTGGACCCTCTCTGTTAGCCATCATGGGATGTGGCACCTCTGTCGCCACAGAAAAGCAAGGGGAAACACTGGAGCAGGGTAAGCATGTGTAGATGGTTTAATGCTGGAGTACACCGGATATTGGGATTTTTATTACCACCCCCCCCAAAAAATATACTGTAAATGGACTGATTCTTATATAGCGCTTTTCTACTCTCCCGTAGTACTCAAAGCGCTCTATACAACATGCCTCATTCACCCAAGCACTTCTAAACTCAAGTGCTACATTCATACTCCGATGAAGGCATCGGAGGGCAACTTGGGGTTAGTATTTTGCCCAAAGATATTTGGCATGCAGACTGGGGGAGCCAAGGATCGAACCACCAACCTTCTAATCAGTAGCTGATCTGCTCTACCACCTGAGCCACAGCCACCCAATACTGTCCCCAGAGAGATTTGTTCCTCCTGTGAAAGGTGGGAAAAACCCACATGCAAAGACGTCACACACACAAAACACCCCATAGGTGTTAAACACTAATTGGAAAGCAAAGCTCATGTGATGTTAAACAGCATATTTATTCGTGCTGTGTAATACTGCAAATTTTGGTATAGATCCGATACTAAGTAAATACACTGCCAATGTTACCAATACTAATACTTTTAACTTATAAAGAGCTTATGAAGGGAAAAGCAGCGACTTAGCAAATGATTAACATAATTCAGTGAGCTACATACTGAACAAAGAAGATTAAAGCAAAGTATCGATCCCATCGTGCTTGTACCAATACCGATACCAGTGATGATATCGATAATTTTTTTTTAATGGATCCACCCACCTCTACTGTTTCTGGGCCCTTACAGAGACTTTTATTTCCCCTTACTCGAGTACAGGATAGTGTAATAAAGGATTACACATCAGGCACATACAGTTGCCCCTTATTAAAAATGACTGCAGTCAGTTCACCTAAATTGCAGGGTGTACTCCAGTTGTTACTGAGTGCTTGTGTTTATGCAAAGGCATTTTGTAATGCTAGTACTGCTACTACTATGCTTTAGTAAGTTGCTAACCTGTTCTGCTGCAGCAAGGTGATGATAGCTATTTTTTTGCTGCAGTAAATGTGCCTCTGATTTTGACAGATGATCCTTTCCCTCCTTTGCAGTCTGTCTTTTCTTCTCTTTAATGAGTGCTGCTGCTCCCAGAAGCTTGTTTAATTTGCTTAGTTTTCCCAATCCCACTGTTGCACACGACCTCCCTTGTGTCTTGTTATTTCTCATACCGTGTGTGTGTGTCTGTATATGCTCATTTGCACACAGTTTTATTCAATTACACGTTTCACGTTTTCTCGCTGAATTGTAGTTTTCCCTTCATGCAGATGAACCAGTTAAGACTCCCAGCCCGGCTCTGAGTAAGACCCCGCTCATCCTTAACTGCCAGGCTTTTACTTATGTGGCATCTGTGTTTGTGTGCTTGTCTGTCTGCATTTTTACATTTTGCAAGAGTAACGGAGGATTCCTGTGGCCTGTGGAGTTCTGTAGAACTAAAAAGAAAACAATGGGTAAATAACAGCTAAAGAGTCATAGGCATCTGAGGGTATGAGTTGTTGAAGCAGTAGTATGGTTTCATGCTATGAGTGAGCGCTACAAATGGGATGTTTGCTTTGAGTGTGCTGGTGGAGATGTATGGGGAGGTCAGAAGGAGCTTCACTTTCTCTTTGTGGATCTAGAGAGGGACTGTATGAGGAAGTAAGGAGAGGCAGAGAAGTATGTTAGGGTGGTGTAGGAAGGACAGTGAGATGTGGAGTAGGAGTGGCACAAGGGTTCAAGGTAGGGGTAGGATTACAGTGGGGCAAAAAAGTATTTAGTCAGCCACCGATTGTGCAAGTTCCCCCAGAGGTCAGTAATTTGCACCAGAGGTACACTTCAACTGTGAGAGACAGAATGTGAAAAAAAAA